ATTTACGCAAAAACTTCCAAAGATTCAAAAAATTGCAATCCAAGGGTTCAACGTCGTCACCATCCAGCTCCTGAAATGGTTTGGTGGGTAGTCACCTGAAAAGGCATTACAACTCTTCGCTTCTGTGAAAAAGGAGTTAAAACTGAGGTAAAAGTGTATCAGCATCTCTTCGATGGAAAGCATTGAATACCCCATTAAAAAAGAACAGTAGCGTAGAAACTGTGTTTACTGCTAGTGATCAATGGCTCGTTTGAAGGCTTGTGTGAAAGCTAAAGGTGACCATTTCGAATAAAATTGTATACATCGCTAATTTATTAAATGCATTATTAAATAAAATGATTTTCATTAGTTTCATTTTTATAAAGGCCTGAACCTATAACAGAACTTATGGCAGAATTGAGTATGTATTGAAGCTGAGATCTGTAGGTATATAGAGAACCCTGTTTTATCAGGAAATTTGAAATACACTAAATTTTGTTTCAATGCCTCTGCAAGTGAATTTAAATACTATTATGAAATATATGACACCTTCTATCGTAGATCGTAACCACTATTATAAAATAGCTGAAAAAACATCTTTCCGATATTGTTTTATTGTATTATTATAATAATATTGGAACTCTAAAAGTGAGTAAATATTAAGTTTTGACGATCTCTAAAAGAAGGTCGCAAAAAAGAGCTGGTGCTTTGAAACAAGGCCATATACAAGGGGTGTTGGGTGACTAATATAGTTTGCCGCTTATTATACAGCAAATCTGTGAATGAAGCGAAATTATAAAATAAAATAAAAACGAAAGAAAAATAAATAAATAAACAACAACGATCAAAGAGAGCACATTGTGTCTTCTTGCTCGGTATATGGCAGAAATTCGCATGCTGATACGAGTGAATCAAAATTATTGCCGCCTGAACAGTTAGACAACCTAATTTTACAGCGCGTATTTAAGGAGTAATGAATACCACGCACGGATTGACTAACTGAATTGAGTGAATGGCCATCAAATTGAGTGACGAAAATTGGCAGTCGCTGAAGTTACACTGTCAACCAATGAACCAGACAATCAAGCAGACAAGCGCTTCGAGGACCGGAGCAGGTATGCAGGGGGTCGAAGCTACCAGTACAAATATACATAGGTATGTATAGAAATATATGGAAATTGTTCATATGCAAGCGCAATTGCGCGTACGGTTTTCGTAGCAAATAAACAAACATAAATAAATGAAGAAGCTACAGAGTGGAGGCGAGTGTAAGAGCAAGGGAGGCGCCGCTGACAGACGGCAGTGAATTACGATTATGTACTTGGGTATGCTAAGCAGGTTTGATGGGAACGGAATTTCAATGCACCACCACGAATTTTGACTAAATTTTGTAAAATAGTAACAAAGAGTCGAAAAATATAAAACACAGTTTGAAAAGGAACGAAAGAAGAAGAAAGTAAGCAGAAATACGATAGAGAATGAAACGTAGCAATGCAGGCAAGTGTGACGAAGTGTGTAGATTTGGAAAGATATTGTGTAAAAAAAAAGGTAGTAGGAGAGTAGGTCTTAAGCGATTTGTGCTCCTTTTCTTCTTTACAAAAAAATATAATATACATAATGCCTTTTAATTTCTACAGTTGTGAACTTATATCGGTTTTTCTGGCACTTTCCTTATCATTTTTTTATAATAATTATACACTAAACAGGCTCTATTAAATTTGTAACGACTTTTGTAACACCCAAAGAAAATGTCAGCGAAATTATAAATTATATAATTGATCAGCGTGACGGGTTGAGTCGATGTAGCCATATTCGTCTGTCTGTATATATTCGTTCAGTTTTTGAGATATCGGTCTGAAATTTTTAACACGTCTTTTTCTCACCAAGAAGCTGCTCATTTGTCGAAATCGTCGATATCCGATCACTATAGCATATAGCTGAAATACAAACTGCCCGATCAAACTAAACTGCTTTGAAGGTGACAAATAGTTGTTGGTAGTAATGGAATTGCCTAGGTCCTATGGCCATAACGGTTCTTAGAGTGATTGATCTTCGTTTTCTTCGTAAGAATCATGATTCTTCTTATGGAAGTGATTGGAAAAAAGAAGCAACAGTAATTGGCAGCTCAAAGAGAGTTTTTAAAAGCTTTCACAACATTTTCGAGTTGGAGTATAAAGGCTCTCTTTAGATGTAAGTAAGAGAGTAAGTAATCTCTGGATCACGTAGCGAGGACAGCGATCTCGTTATGTTCCGTTCCCACGACAGTCGCGTCTAATAGCACAAACAGTCACCGACATTCCTCCCTTCCGTACGGGCGGTAGTATCAAACCAAACTTGTCAAAATTTATGTCCGTAGTTGCAACGCAGAACTCAGTTGATCTCTTTTGTTTTCATTTCACCAATGTTGTCATTGCATTATTTGTATGCACGATTTTTCACACATTTAATTTTTCAGTTATAATTTTTCATAATGTAAATTCTCAAAACTAAAATATAACTTTTAAAAATAGTTAACCTATTTATAAATAAGTGTATTCGACTGTGATTTTAAGTTATTATAAAAATATTTCAAATATATTCAAGTTCATTTTTTAATTACTACAAAATATCGAGATTGGCAACGCTGCGTTGCAAGAGATTGCTCTCTCACTCTCAACTCACTCGTTTCTACGGAAAAAATCCAATTTTCGCGGAGGTGATTATTCATTTACATTGCGCTCTCATAAGATAGGTTGTATTAGCTGATTCGGTCCACGGTTTTGCGTCGGTGACTGTTTGTGCCATAATTAAACTAAACCGTGTTTATCGGACCAAGGACTGTCTACTCGCCACCTTTCTATCACTACAACAACAACATGCCGTTATATAATTTCTACCAATGGTGATTACTTAGTTTCTCCAATTTTTTGGCGCTACAGTTGTCCTCAGGCTTAGAAGCTACGTGTAAGTAAGACATAGCATTTTTAGCAGATTTTGAGATATAATATATCAAAATCCAAAAACATGGTGATTCGTATTGAAATAATCACGATCAAGGAGTTTCTGTAATTTCAATACGATCCTTTGTGATAGATAGTGAGTTAATTTCGGGTTTCAATAACAAAAACGTGTTTTATACGAAATTGAAGCTTGAGCCTCGTAAATATAAACATATCTTTGCAAATCCTTGTCCTGAAATCACCTGCTTACAAGCGTGTTTATGCATTTTGAATTTGATTTAACTCTAAAGTTTTTGGTAATCAAATTTACATTACCGGTATTGTCGAGATAGACAATTTGAAATGTAAGAAACAAGTTTATGGAAACTTGCGACCACTGGATTCAGCAAAGCCTCGTCTTTGCATTTGTTTTCGCTCTGTTTTCGGCATTTCGTGTCTTTTTGTTATATCATTACGTCTACAAGAGTCTACGCGAAAACGCACGAACAGGCGACACAAGCGAATACGAAAACGGGTTTCATCAATTAAAATCAAAAGCAAGAAATATTTCGAAAAACTAGAAAGCCAAAGCGAAACTGTAAATCCATTTACAGCGCTCATGCTTATAGAAAAGTGTGATATTTGCTCTTCTTTTAGACGCCTCTGAGCTAGAAACTAAAAGTTCTATTGAAGCGCGCTTAACTTCACGCTTGAAAGTAGTGATAATGAAAGCGGAAAATATTGCAAGTTGGAGTAGCGGTAGTCTAGCAAGTGATAACTTTCACAATGAGACGGCTGAGGTAAATACATACATACATACGTATATGTCTGTATGGATGTGTGTATGTGTGGATGTTTGTTCAAACACAAACCAATCAGTTAAAGTAAATATGCCTTCATACACAATATTTCTTAGAGATGCATTTATTTCTTTTGAAAATTTTTATGTAAAAATTGCTAACGGTAAAATTGGAAAGCAAGTGCTGCATAATTACAAAGCAAATTTAAATAAATTTTATTGTGAACGAAAAATCTGCATTGCGCTTTGATTTGTTACTGCCACACACTCACTCACTCAAGGCCTGCGGGTGGTATGAGTAACGTGGAAAGATGCAAGGGAAAAAAACATGCAAATTTCGGAATTTAAAGTTTGCAAATTCGAATTTCCTTTCACCAAACACAAACGCTTTGCTTGTATTTGAATAATTATTTTTTGCATAACTCTCCGCTATTTACGTTAATTTTAATAAACCCACAAATTTTTTTTTATACTTTTAAATTGCTGTTTAATATTTTTACCATCTTCCTGCCCTTCTGCTACTCCCTTTCACTATTTTCAAATTTTCTTTCCCCCGTTTCGCTTTCCTTCACCCAATCTGTTGTTTGGTAATACGATTTCATAATTCCAAATTAAAATTTTTTTTGTCATTTCATGCACACCACATTCGCAACGCATAAGCACTTGCACAGGCACACATAGAAATTTATAAAAATATTTGTCTTCCATTTATTGTAGTTTTCTGCTGCTGCTTTATGCTTGTGCTTTTGCTTTGATATGCGACTTTTAGTATCACTCTTAGATTTTCTATAAAAGCATAATTTTACTTTCATTTTGCAGCGTCTCTCGGGTGTACGATTTTTCACGCATAGTTTTTCTAGACGCAGATTGCTTGCATTACTTTTCAATTGCTTTATCGCCGCATTATTTTGCAGCTTTAAAATTTATTTATTTTGTATTATTTCTTATAACTTTTGTTGCTTCGCTTCTGCTGCTACCATATGTGTGTTACGTTGTGTGTGAGCAACTGCGCATGCGCGACGCACATTTCGGTTATATACATAGTGCGCAAGCGCCAGCGCCGTGTTTGTTGTGTACGTGTTGGTGTATGCGCTTACAAATATTTATAGCAAGTAAAGTTGTAAGCGTAGCTTTTAATTTGCTTATTGGCTTTGCTAATGTCTTCAGTGTGTACATACGTACAGTTCGAGAACACAAAGCCAATTTAAGTATAAGTATATACACATACATATGTACATACATATATACCTTATTTATAAATATATATTTTTAAGCAAATCCAACAACTAGCAGCCGAAACATACTTTTCTTCCGCTTACCTCGCTTTCAAGTCGTTTGTATTTACTGTCTTCACTTCGCACACAAACATGCACACCAAAAGCGCTCTGCTGCTTGTCGCCTCCGCAAAATTGCAATTTTTTTTGCACTGCTTATTCAATCGCGCACAACACTCGCCTCGCACACACAAGCGCTATTCAATGTAACTTGCCATATTTACTTTCAATTCAATTCAATTCGCTTTGTTATTCACTTCACTTTGCATTCGACACCGTTATTTATGTAGACGGGTAGATATTTTAACTCAACCGCCCTTTCACTTTGCCAGAATTTGCTTCAAATTTGATTTTAGCCGCAACTTCTTTGACTTGTTCAACGTCTGCTTTGCTTTGCAGCGTTTAAAAAATTCGTTTTACCAGCCTAAAACGCTTTCAGTACCTAAAACGCTTTCAACGCTCACTGGTCTGATCTATTCACAAACCGTTTACCCGTTAGCGCACAGCTTTAACTCTGTTCGAGTTCGTTGTCTTCGCCGAACTAAATTGAAGTCTTTCGTTTGTCTTGTTGGCTAGCTGCGTTCGCTTGGTCGCTTGGCCGCTCATTGGTTCGGTACTAACGCACTGGCGGATTGGCTTTGTATGTGGCTAACTGACTGGTTAGCAGCTTGTTGTTGTTGTTGCTATTCGATCTGTGGTCTTCTTGGCTGTACGCCTGTGTTGTCTATATGTTGCTCGTTTTGTTGTTTCTGTTTGTCGTTCGCAGTTTTTCTACTTTGCGTCCTCTGCTTCGTCTTATTTTTCGTTTATCATTAAATTCGTTTCTTTGTTGCGGCTCGCTTCTTGGTTAATTCATTTATTTTCGAGTTTAGTTGAAGTTACATACGTTCAGATATTGGCGCAAACCGGTTACTTGGAGCCACTTATAAATTAAATTGATTTATTCTTGTAAAAATACACGTATATGGACAAATATAAGTATGGTATGTATATTACAGATTCGCCAAGCCAAGGAAAATATTGCAGGTTCTATAGCTTGAAGATTTATAAGCTTAAACTTTGTAACAGTTGTGCAATGGCAGACAGCGTAACCTCTTGATCGGAGAATGCTTTTTTGGCTTACACTGCTTAACTTCTTCAATAATATAGCCGAACGTAGAAATATCGACGGATCTTAATTGCACTAAAAATTACAGGATAAAAACACATTTTTAGAAAACCGTGAACTTAGCCCTAAAGCTGATTCTTTGATCTTATTAGAATTTCAGTAAACGATTTTAGGGCTGCGATTTCCTTGGAGTAAACTTCCTTCTCTTTTCCGAGAATCGTAAAACAGTTTGGAGTGTCAAGTGTCCTCAAAGGATCTGTTATATAACTTCTGCGATGTTCATATTAGCCCTGTCAAATCTTCAACGGCTGTTAGTCATTGCAGAAGTCCACAAAAGCCTCAATCCTTATCTTGCTGAAGCGATTTTAGGGCTCCGATTTCTTGGGATAAAGTTCAAATCACAAAAAAAAAAACTAATTTCTAAAAACACTTAAAAAATCTTACCTTACTCCATTTCAGAGTCCATCATATCATTTAAAAATGACATTCTCCGTTGCCCGCTAGTAATTGCAGAAGTACACGAAAGACACAATCCCTCTCTAGTAGTCATATTATATGGCGTAGCATGCTTAGAAGAAATGTATCAAATGCAATATCCATCTTAGAAAAGCACACCTGAACCGAACCGATTACTTTTTGTTTTTCTTTCATTTTAAGCACTAATTTTCTGCACCTCATGCGTCATACTTCTTGTCGCAATTAGCATTATAAACTCTTTAAACCACATAGGTACCAAACGCGTGTGTATTTGTGTAAGTATCTAGTTGGTGCTATTGGTTACTCGTAGATTCCGAAACTCGGCATGTGTAAGCGACTGACTAGGCGGGTTTTGTCGAGGTCGTCTGGTTTTGTTTTTACCTTATGTTTTTATTTTCACATATCCATTAATATTGCTCCCTTTTATCTTGATTGTGTGTATGGTTACATATTTCTATGAGTGACCATTCCAGTTTCTTAATTTGAAAAATGCAACTCAATTTGAATGGTCGCGCTGGCCTGACGTTGTTGCTCTTTGGGCCAACTCAGCTGTTTAATTGTTATATTTTTTTCTTGATTGAGCTTTATTATTTCGTACTAAATTGTGTATGTGTGCATATACATATGTACGTATGTTTGTTAGATGGTCTATTGTTGGTTGGTGTTGCTCATCGTAAAAGTTCGCGGCTTGTAATCTGAAAATTAATAAAGTTTATTTTTGTTTGGTGTTAAAAAACGAGCATTGCGTGAAACATTAATAAATTTCCTTATTGTCCTATATAAATGTCTGATTCTCTCAAGCATCCCTAACCATATATGTTGTGAAAACCAAAGTGTACAATAGTAAACAATTCATGTATTTGTTTATGGTATATCAACCCGTGAGGGTTTTTTTATCTTAAACAGTATGAAGCCACTTGCTTTATATATGTACGTATATGTATGTTTATGATAAATAGAATAGAAATAGAGTAAACTAATATATTCGTTCTCAACGTTATAATGAATTCATATTTATTTAACAATTATACACACGTGTATAAATTCAACATTATTCACAAATATTAAAACTAATATTTTATTGTAACTAACCGCTAAACTATTAGAAACTGTATACAGATGTTTTACCGACTCTTATACGACCTAAATTATAATAGCCTTATTATAATCGCTGTTTTTTTGAATGAATGTGTCAAAATCGCATACTTAGTTTTCGAACGAAACTGTTTAGATTAGCGAAAAATCAGTAGCGTCGTAATGCCAATTGGGAGAGTCCATCATAGTTATCTTGGGCATTTATCGCACTGCCCGGCGGATACCACATTATTATCATAACAATCTTCAATAATACTTCAAAACATAAATAAAATATCTAAAATATTTTTTTCAATTCACATGATTTCGTTACCTGTGTAGAAACAATTTATACATTTTCCCGCTTCTATTTGAAATTAATGTCAACAGTGATCAGCTATCGTACAAAGTAACCGTAAAACATTCAATGTATTTTATTTTAGCATTTGAACATTACTTTAAGTAAGAAAAAACGCTTCTGCTTTACTGTCTCTTAAATTTTCGCAAATAAAATATATATATTTAACAGTTAATTTTTAAATAATTATAATCTTTTTTCACTGGCCGGATGTGTAACATAAAAGCCAAACAAATAAATATCAAAGCTCTTTGATTACTATTAATTCACCTCGTGGTGTGTTTTTAGATTTGCATCCGATGTTATTTTTGACGTAAATTTATGGAGCTGCCACATTATACATATTATTATGATTATTTTAAAGCTCAGTAATGTGCGTATATCTTGATGTTTCTCTGTTTCTTTTATTTAACTACTTTCTTTATACATAAAGTTAGTGGAATAATCAACTAACTCAGGGAAAGCCGAAATAGGTTATGGGGATATTTTTTTGAAGCGCGGCCGAGGGTGGCCAATTCGGTGAGAAGAAAGAGTACGCGGAAGAAAAATTAACCATAAATCAACATAAAATGAGAATATCTGGAAACCAAAATTTTCCGGCGGCTATAATTATATATATTCTTAATCTCTTCTATCCAATCATACCCATTTAACCTTAAAATCGTGGGATGGTATACTAAAGCTTCCCCTTGATTCTCTCCTTTACATTATTTTTGGTGGATTTTTCTCTCGCAACCTATTGCGATGTTTGTTGCCAATTAATACACAAAATACAGCCAAGTGGCCACGCTGTATGGAAATGTCAAATCAAGAAATGGAATTGAAATAGTTGAAAAGGAAAAAAATTCTCAGCGAAGATTGTGAAAATATTGCGGAAATGTTTGGTGAAGAATTTGCAGACCTGCAAATAAAATATAAGTGTAAACTACAAAAAGATTTGTTCAATAAAATTTCAATTCGATTAAATGTTTTACATTGTGCCGTTTACATTTAAAACATATCAATCTGCTCAGGTATTTAGTCGCACGGTTGCTGGAATAGTCGTGAAAATCTAAAATAAAGAATACATATGCTAAAATGCCGTCAAGTGAAGTGGTGCAACAGTAAAAAAGCAAAGCACACAGCAAATTCGAAAAAATAAAAATAATAAATTCCGAGTAGAGTGTCAGTAAAACAAAACACGCGCCGCGCACTCAAATAAAATTTGCATTTCCAAATTGAACCGATATTTATTTCGTTATTCCTTTCAATATTTTCGGTCATACACGGTCATACGTTCGAACGTGTTTTCCGGCGCTGTTACGTTGTTTTGGTGGACGCGCAACACGTAAATTATATGCGAAAATATGGGTGGTTGCATTGGCATACACAGCACCGACAATGAGACAGTCAGTGTGTCTTCAGCGAGTATATCGAGGCCACCGACAGGCGCGGGTGAGTGAACGCGTTTATGACTGCAATATTATCCACCAGTGCAAGCACTGCAAGATAAACTAACATACACATATATTGTATGGCAATCTCTATTCTTTTTCGTAATTAGGCGGCGCCCAAATAGGTCCATCGCGCAAAAATCGCCCACTGTGCAATGAAACAATACGTTGGCGTTCCGATGTGCCATTGACGGAGGGACAGCTCCGTTCCAAACGTGATGAATTCTGGGATACTGCGCCGGCATTCGACGGTCGCAAAGAAATTTGGGATGCGCTGCGGGCAGCCACAAACGCGGCGGAAGAGTTAAATTTTGAAATGGCGCAGGCAATACTGGACGGAGCGAATATATCGGTGCCCAATGGGTATGTTTGCAATAAAGTAGTGCACCATTATTTTGTCAACCTAATAATTCATTCATATGCATGGGTGATTAAAGAAAGTGATTTAAGCAGACTTATAAGTAGTTTTTATTATGTGGCGAATTATAAACGCTAACTGGTATCAGTAGCTACTTAAAGCATAACAAATATTACAGTATGAACAAAATAGTGTGTCTAAGTATGTCGCGTTTACGCCTATACCGAACATATTTAACCTCGAACTTTATTTTACCTCAATTTCATCATTTTCTATATTAATAAGTCCTGACTTCCTATTACTCCTTGACACTGTAGGTCGTACGAAAATTGAGGTATTTATTCTTTAACGCCGTTTAACCATAGATAATACACATGTTAGTATATAGCTGTCGGTGGTGACAAAACCTTGAAAGTAAATGCTAATCGCTTTCTGTTATAGTTTTGTACTGTGATTATTAGAAATTAGATTTGTTGTTTCCCCAAATATTGTCGGAGCCGTTTATTTGGATACACATATGTACAGATATACCGCCTAACTACATAAACAAATGTCAAAATCGAAAATCAATATATATATGAGTAGCATTAGCCTGTTCACTAACACAGTACTCATAAGGATTATGGTTAGTGGTAGGTCATGAAACACTAATCAGATGCCAATCTCTTCTAAATTTGGTAGTGTCGTCAACGTCCGTGTAAATGCTTTATTCCTGACCAACGACAAGCAAATGCTCATCATTAAATAATATTTACTGCAACATTAGTGAACCCGCCTAAAATAAATGTGTTTAACGTCTCAATATACACATACATATATTCCATTAGTTTGACACCAGTGTCGAATTAAATAATACGGTAGCTTAAATTTAATTATTGTTTTGCTATTATTATATATATCGGTAAATTTTTAGTTTTGTGAAATGCTACAAAGAGAATAGTGTAAAGCAGTAAATATATATGTAAACCCAGGTCGTACCGGTTACGTAGACTCCATTAAAGTGGAAAATACAGCTACTTAAGCCATAATTTTGCGTGTTATTTATTTACTACTAAGCGTTATAACTTTCAGTAAACATTTATAATATGGTTAAATCACATAAAAAATTATTTGTGCTACGAAACGTATATTTTTCAATTATTTATCAACTTGACGTATAATGTTTTATGCCCTCAGATTGTGCACACATTTAACTCTAAAAGCACATCAATGTGCAAGTGTATATAAGTAATAGTATATAAATTATAACTAAAAATTATCGTTTATATTCAATTACCAAGTTAATCAGGTGATAAAAACCTATACAAACAGCCGTTGAACAGAGATTCGATTAGTGAGCGCTTATCCACCTAGGCACATGTACTTAGACATATTGTATATGTAAATTTGTGTATGATGTCAAATTGTAATTTTACTCGCTAATATCATATGTAATTCGTCCATTTACGGGTGTAGATGATCATAAATATACATTTTCCATCTCTTCTTTGAATGTCATTTGCTACATTCCTAACATATATATTTTTTTAATTTTTATACCCTGAACAGGGCATATTAAGTTTGCCACGAAACCACCGACAATGGACCAAAATAACATATAGCAACCATTAAAGCTGATCGATAAAGTTCTTGTATGGAAGACTTTTTTATTTGACAAAATGTCTTCACAAATTTTGGCATAGATTATTGTCCAAGGTAACGTACTAATATCCGAAGATACTTTTAGAAGTAGATCGCATCACTATAGTATGAAGCTGGCATACAAACTGATCGATCAAAATAAAGTTTTTGTATGGAAACCTTTTGGATTTGACAAGATATCTTTATGAAATTTCGCACGAATTGCCTAAGTCAACGCTATAATCTTCCAACACATTTTTCAGATCCGACCACAATATAATACATATGTATATCCAAATCACGCTCTTGTTTGGAACTTTTTTTATTTGTGAAAGGTATTCTTGTTTGGCGTAGTTAACGTTTTTTCTTGTTTTTTTTCATTTTTATTTTTAATTTTTACTTATTGTATTAGCACCAAAATCTGCCTAAGTTGTCGCACAGCGTTGCTGGTAATTTTGAATTTTTAATTTATCACGAAATTGTCTTTGTATTAGCAGTTTACTGGATTTAAGGTTTTGTTTTTGTTTTTTCTATGTAATAAGTTTTCTGCTCCTAAAGAATACAGCTCAATCGCTAAATGGAAGTTATGCTCGCACTTAATTACTTTTGTATTTATTTTATGACAACGAAAAGTATTCAATACGGAAATTAAAAGTGATAAGATAAAATTTAAATAAAATTGACGACTAGCCTTAAAAAACGCTGACTGTGCTGTTTTGGTGTTTCACATAGCAAATAAAGACATATATTAAGCAATATATAATATGTATATATATATTTTAAAATTAACTACAATACTTCAAAAGCAAGAAAAAAAAAACAACAACATTATTGCATATAATCACAACACGTTTAGCGAGCAGAGCTCAAGCCAACGCTATTTTGAGTATATGCAAGTTTTCAATTTCGAAATTTAAATTTTGAAATTCTCTGCAACTTTTAGTATATTTAAATAAAGAATTGGTAATGAAGTGTCTTTATTTACTATTGAATATAAAAAATAAAAGTACTCTTATCAATATAGTTTCTATTGCTTCTTACATTATTTCCATCCTACATAGCTGCAAACGCTTTTTTCACTTCAAATAAAGTTAATATATAGTATAGTACATAAGTTATATCCTTCTGGCATTTCTGTGTTACTTTCCCACTATCATATTAATATTGCATGACAATTTTATTGATTCCATCGTATGACGAATGCACAAACTTAAAGGTACCAAGTGCCGCCCAATAAACCTAATCAACTGCCCAGCAGTGGTGCTATTTTGAAAAGTGTGAACTGCGGCGTATGCAAATAAAAGTTTTAATTCCATTTCATTATCGACAGCTAGTGTGAAGAGTTTACCTGGCGCATGCCATAACTTGTGGTGTATGTATGTGAAAATACATTTGACAAGGTCACTGGCTGTAAGTGTACAGCATGAGTAGGCTTTTTCCGGTAAACAAACTTCTACATAAATTAATAAGCGTGTGCAAGCTAAATGTAAGAAACTATTTTTTATAACTATAAATTAATTTTGCTCAAGCTTATGTTTTGCACTTGTATAGGAATGAATAAACTTTTTGAATGCAGCATATGGCTTCCTCTCTACATTCAGTGTACAAGATAAACCCTTAAAATTATTGATTCGACAGTTACAAGCTGCCTGGACAATTCCCGGTCCTTGCCTTGGCCCGCAACTGGCTTTTGGTGCAAACTTTTAACAAATTTGCCATACGTCAGCGTATTGTCGTAAAGATTGCAACCTTAAACTCAATTCGTGTTTAATTTTGGCCACAGCGAGATAAGATTGCGAATTGCATGCGATAAGCGTGTGTGTGCATTTCTTGCATATGAAATTTCTTGCTGAAATGTTGTTAAAAATTATAACAAATTTTTTTTTTGGAGATTTTTATTTCACTTTAGGTTTCAATGTTGTTTGAAACGCTGATTTAGAATCTATAGATTGAGATTATACCGAATTTATACCTTTTGAATGTTTTGTTTTGTAACACGATCAGTCTATTAGTGTTTGAAAATATAAATAATCCTGTATGTACGGTACGGTGAATATGCACCAATTTATTCTTACCATTGGTGTTCAGAACTAAACAGAAAGATTGTGACTACATATAGAGGAACGTAAAACCGCAAGACCCATAACCATCGCTTCAGCATAATAATAATGAATAATTTTTTTCGGAAAATGCCGTTTGTCTTTTATAGTAAAGCATGTCATATTTCTTGAAGATAACTCGTCAAATAAGAAAGTTTTCCATACAATAACTTGATTTTAATTGTTCAGTTTGTAGCGCAGCTATATGCGATATCGGCGGCTCCGACAAATGATTAGTTTCTAGAGGAGAAAATAATATGTACAACGTTTCGGATCGATATCTCAAAAACTAAGGCATTAGTTTGCATATATAAAGACAGACAGACGGGCATGGCTAAATCGACTCAGCACGTCACCCAGCTTATTCATATATATAGTATATGGTCTCCGTGTTACAAATTTTGTGGCAAATCATGCTCAGGATATAAAAATACATCTATTGTACTTCTACAAAAACCTGGAAATATTTGTATATGTGTATATAACACACACATTGCTATATTTCTATAATACCACTTTCTTCGATAATTATCGCTTTATTGTCGGCGATTAAAATAATAAATCATCGCTTTTAAAAAGCCTGACATATATGTAGGTATATGTTTATATGTATATGTACATATGGATCTGTGTGTACTGTATATTTATTATTGGACAGCTGTTCACACACTATCTTTCATTGTAGCAATATAGTTATAAATTGTTACTATTGATTCGTATCAGTGAAAGTTAGTTTTGACTGTGCAATTTAATCAGAAATTCGTTTTTAGCAATAATTTATATAATAAAGCGGAAATTCCTTGCATCATAAAGTCTTGGAAAAAGAAAACTGTGAGCTTTTGAGGAAAAATACTGAGGCTTTTATTGCTAATTCGTATTTCCCGTTATTGTTTTACAGCTAAAAGAAGAGATTTCGATAAATGCTACTTATTGAAATCGAAACTGTCTAGCTTTTGTGCCTAGCTCTGCTATTTGTTTGCTACTTAAACTACTTCTTTAATTTAGTTGCAAATTTAGTCGACTAGCTTACTGTTCATACACATTATTAATTAAGCTGCGACACAATTAGTGTTTGACAGTTAATTAAAGAAATAGGAAATGTAGAGAAAATAAATGTAGCAAACATAAAGCAAAGTGGTTTAAAATGAATTTGCATCAATTAGCAAATTTCCCTTTTATTTTTATAGGTTGATCAATTAAATTGAGCTCAATTATTTAAGGTTACCACGTGATATGTAGGCAGAAAAATTCTGCACTCAAGGCACAACATTTTACTTAAAGTATAATAAATATTTTAAACCTCCCGCTAATTTAGTCAATTAGTAAATTTTATGATGAAAATGATAATTGAGTAACTTAAATGACTTTCTATAATACCAATTAAGCAAACTTTAGCGTAAAATTTTTAGTTGAAGTTGGAGGAGGGTGTTTTGATGTTCTTAATTTGTGTTGCCAGCAAATGATCACTTTATCACTATCCGCAAGCGTTTGAGTGTCAAACTTCCTTATATTATATTTAATTTTTTCCTTTTTTCATAAAACACACAGTTTCTACACTTTTTTTGTAGAAATTAAAAATTATTTTTTACTTGTTGTCGTGCCAACATGGTTTTTAGTGCTTATTTTTTGTAAATTTGATACAAATTGATAAGCAATTAACTACAAATTGGCTTCTATATGCTAAATTTAGTCATTATTAAAGTTTAAATTAAGACTAAATTTCAATATAGGTTCTTAATTGGCAATTAATGTTTCACATATATTATTACCTTTGACAGTTAATATTCAACACAAGCTTAAATGTAGCAAAATTTTACTAAAAATCAGCGGAAACCACACTTAAAACCGAGACTGTGCATTAATTTAATAATGAATGAGAATGCGTTAACGATAATACCCTTAACAAACGATTCCATACAAGGACTGGATTTTGATCTTTATGTTTGTATGAGAGCTACAAATATGCTATAGTGGTCCGAGTAGTCTTAAACAATCCATTCCAAGGTTCGTGAAAATATCTTGTCAAATAAAAAAGTTTTCCATACAATAACTTGATTTTAATCGTTCAATTTGTATGGCAGTTGTATGCTACAGTTGTGCGATATCGTCGGTTCCGACACATGAGCAGCTTCTTGGGAAGAAAAGGACGTGCGCACAATTTCAGATCGATATCACAAAAACTGAGCGACTAGTTCTCGTATATACAGACGGATAGACGGACATGACACGCTGATCATTTATATATACATTTAACAGGATCTGAATCGTTTACTTCCGGATGTTAAAAACTTCGTGGCACCTTGTTTAGGGTATAAAAACATAGCAGCTATGAAACCTTAAAATTAAAAATTGGTTATAATATCTAAAAATTAGTTTAGAGTTAATCAAATGTTAATTAAGTTTCAAAAATGTATATTAATTGTTGAAAATTAACAATAATTTTCTAAATGTTCTTCATTTTCATTATATGTAGCTGTTTTGTGCTGTTGTTGTTATATCGGCTCAAAGTTAGAGCCAATAATATAACCTAAACTGATACAACACAGCGGAACCTACTTCAAACCAATGGTTCAGAAATAGCACGCTCTATAGACACATACACAATTTTTGTTGGATATATCCTTATATCACAGCAAAATTTCATATTTAATATTATATCATTTCTCTATTTTTTTGTTATTCTCCTCCACAGTTACCTTACAGAATGCTACGATGAACTCGGCACACAATACAAAGTGCCAATCTACTGTCTATCTTATCCTATAAATATCGTTAAAGAAGAGAATGGACGTGATTCACCAGCGGAATTCTCAGAGCCCGTCGACGGTGGCACTGAAGTATTTCTAAAACTGCGAATATCGTCCACAATGTCGGATGTCAAATTACCAGTATATTCAAAAGACACTGTGGGACAGTGCAAAAAGAAATTGCAAGTAAGTGGCCACCCCTATCCCTCTATATATATACATACGTACATTTGATCAAATCTTGATTTCTTCACTTTCTTTGCGCTTTAGGCTGTGGAAGGCATCGACGCCTGCTGTCAGCGTTGGTTCTACAGTGGCAAATTACTTGGCGATAAAGTGCCCATAGACGAGTGCAACATACAGAACGGCTATGTCGTACAGGTCATTGTCAATACGGAGCATTATAATCACGATATTAGCACAATTATACCGGTTGCGAGCTAGCCAAGTGTTTGCGCTAATGCAAAATGTAAAAGAATATTAGCAACGATTATAGCAACAGCAGCGGCAGCAACGACAATGTCAATGCGAACGCTAAAAATAACAACAACAGCAACAACAACAATGTCGAAAGCCCAAAACAGATGTTCAATGTAGCGGCTGTGTTACATTTGCATACATCGTAGTAAATATATTTATAAACAATTTTATTATGAATGAGACAAGCAAGCGACATGTAACAGACGAACTGACGGACGGACAGACCGACAGACAGCATTATGCATGTAATGTAAATTTCAATGCGTTCTGCTAGATACGTGTTGTGTATAAAGCGCCAGGCTCACGCGAATGTGTGTGGGCGCGCACTTTATTGTTCTTGTAACATGCAAATCGTCAACGATCGTTCACATAAATGCGTTAATTGTTAATTATAGGTGTTTTCTTTTTTTCGTAATAATTTCTATTATAGCATCACATTTTACTTTTGCTCCTTGATTAGACATGCATATGTATGTATGTACGAATTATTGTAGTTGGTACTTGCGAAAATTGAGAAAGAGAGACTTTTCGAAATTGTGCTGCTGAGCGTCGTCATTTGTTAGTTAGTTGCTGTTGTTGTTGCCTGACTGTTCTTGCTACGCCTTGAAGCAATGGGCTGTGCAGCAGATATTACACACACACACACATACACTTATATATATACATATATATTAAATATATTGAATGAATGATTGAAAATGATTGAAAGTTATAAGCATATGCAAAATGTATAAAAAAAGGGGAAAAAAGCAAAAAAAAAAAAAAATGAAATAACTTATTTGAAATAGAAGAAACTGAACTTGTTAAATAAAATAAAGAAATTAACAATTTAATTTTTCGAAAACAATAAAAGTAAACTAGCAATTACTAGAAGCGTATGTAGTTCTAGCATTTTCTACTACACTAATTGTGAGTAATGCTTAGTAACTAAAGTGTAAAACACAAAACGAAAACAAATACTTTCTAAGCATTAACACTTCGAAGTTAATATACGAGATATACACACACAACGTTTGCAAAGTATAAATACGTAATAGTGTTTTTGTTTTGTATATTTTGTAAATAATGCTAGCAAATTTCGAACGACGTGAAACGAACAAATGCATACCGTTTTTTTTTAATTCAGATGTAACACGCAAACATTTTTGTAAGACAAAGGTGGCTTTAGTTGTCGTCATATTTATATGGCTATTAAAGTGTTTATTATGTATGAAATTGGTTGTTAAAGATCACTTTGACGTCATTGAAATATGAATATAGCTTAAAAGTAAAGTTCGAAAGTTTCGAAGTTAATTTCGAAAATGATAATGAAGTTTCGATTGTTATGAACATGAAATTAGATAATATTGGAAAAAAGTTTTTACCTTATTATGCATACAATTTCGCTTTTTATTAATTTTTTTTTAAATAATCGAAGCTTTTTGTTAATTAAGTTTCTTCGGCCCCTTTTCAAGTTGGAAGTAGCTTAGACAAATTTAGCGAAATAGTAAAATATTGCTCATATTATTTTCATTTATTGACATGTGCATCTTTTCAGTCTTGTTATTTAAATAAAATTTAATTGTTTCCGAAAACACTCCTCATTGTATTTCGTAAATTTTATCAGTAATGCCAATATTTGTAAATAAAAGAAAAATATGTAGTTTTCAAACGTTTTACTGCTTCTTATCAATTTCGAAAGTGAGTTTTTCTTTCTTCGATTTCTTGGATAATATGCTTATTAGTGTGCTAGAAAAAAAAACAACAATAAATTCCTATTTCGGAAATTCGATAATCTAAAAATTCGAAAGTTATTTTATCAGCACTCTAATTGCCACCCCAGTCGACATAATGAACATAATAAATTAAATAAAAAACAAAACAGCAAACAAACCCGATTTAAATACTTACATATGCACATATCTACGTACATATGTCATATACTAAGAGTATCGGCAATAAACAAGAACATACTGAGACCAAACGAAAAGCTAAAGTACAATTTTGGTTATAACCACGTATTGATTCTCGCTCGTATTCTAAAATCCCAATGTACCTTAATTTATAATTTTTACCAGCTGTAGGTCCACAAGCAAATGCTTACACACATACGAACACAAAAGAAAATATGTGTGTATTATATATATGTATATATATAGATATATATTATGTATAAGTTAATGTACTGCATATGTACATGCTGCCGGAAGTTTTTTTTTAAATTTTTTTTTCCAATTATGTTACATGCTTGCGGCCTAACGGTATGTATCTATTCAAGTGTATATAGGTATATACGAACTTATTTGTACGATATACGAACGCCATTACGCTTTCAATTAGGTTTAATTAATTTAATATATACATTTAATGCTGTTAAATTTTAATAATTAGTACGAACAAAAGATATTACATAAGCAGTTTGCACAAAGAATGCAATCAGCGATTGTTACACAACGACGTTATGCACTGCAAATGAAATACGAAATGAAAATGAGTGAGGTTATGTGCATTTGTATAGGCTTAATTTTTACCCAGAAAGTTGACTATCATATTATGTCTGTATAGTTCACTTTTCGAAACAGTTTTGAAATTTCGAAAATTGGCAAAAATTGATTTTTGAACAAAGTACGCCCTTAAATCGGTTCCAAACTGATAGAAAAAGCTCAAAGATGTGCACTGTTAACCTATTTTGGCACACATTGCTTGCGATATAACCTCAGTTATGTATGTCTGCGAGCACCATTCATAGTGTTCAAACTGATTTTGCGCTTTCTCTCTCTCTGGTGTATCGTGCTTCGCGGACTGCAAAAGCTTCAATTGCATTTAGTGTCTTTTAACGCCCACTTGCGCATATTTATGCAAAAAGGTTATTTATAAAAAATAAAGAATAAAAAAAAAACAACAACAAGAGTAATATTATAAGTTTTGTGTATGCATTGCTTTATAGCATACTAAGTGTGTTTATAACTATTTATTAACAAAAAGTAATATGTTTGTATGTATTTTAATTATAGTGTTGCAATTTAGTACATATTTATTAATTTTAAACATTTTCCACTCCCTTTGCTAAACAAATATATGCGCTCGACATATAGGAGTAAGTGTTACAACATTTTTCTAACTGTAAAAAAACAACACATTGCGAAAATAATTTATTCGTTTAGTAATGAAGTAACGGACTAATAGTAATTGTAATGGAGTTTTAGGAAACAATAAGAGCATGTAGCATTTAATGCGTTTTAGAATGCATTTATGAAAATTATATTTTTATTTAAATATAAATTAATTTAATACACTGAAATAAACAGGCAAAAAAACCCGTTGTATACGAAATTACTTTTATTTTGGCAATAACTGAAACAAACAAAGCGTTAAATGAACACGGTTGATTTAAAAAAGAACACTTCTAGTTCTCTTCCCTTTCCATGATTTATCTTTCAATGACATACGGTTCGACATAAACAATATAGACCGGTATTTACCATATATGTATTCGGCAAAGAGTTGTTAACACAAAAGCTTTAATTAAAATTATTTAGGACATGTTAACTACCACTAAAACAAGAACAACAGCAAGCACTTCCGATCGGTTGTGTGGGTGGAAGAATAATGTATGTTTAATGTACCCAGATCGCTGAGTCAAAATCGCTAATTTCAAAGAGTTCATTAAATCACCAATCCATTCGTTTTTATACCCGTAGAACAGATTTCTGGTTTTGTAAACCTTTAACAACATAATTCAAATCGCCTGCGGAAGTTCAACGGTTCAACCGAACCGAAGTTAAATGAGAAGCAAAATCGAATATTCAAAATTATATTCCATGCGTTGTGAGTAAAATAGTTTAGTGCTTTATTGAATATTTCTAAATACGAATTGCTGACTTAGGCACCCTAGTAGACATTTGTCTACAGAATTGTTCGATAAAATATAGTAGTGCATATAATTCTTCCGTTAGCCTTATTAACAAAAAACTTTCAGTCAAGTTCATCCATGTTACGCAACAAAGTAAAGAACGAGAACGATGTTGTGATAATCTGCAATGAGAATAATAAACGAGTTTTTTAATACTAAAACTTATTCCTGTTTCCAATGTGAATTAAAAACAGCTTATATTTCAGCTGTAAAAGACTTTTAAAAGGAGTTGTGACCTTATTATGGCTTATTCTAAAAAAAACTGCTTACCTCACGAAACTTTTCCAATCGTAACGGAAAAACTTTGCCAGCCGTGAATTCGAACGGCTGTTGAGCATTCTTCAAAAATAAGAGATAATCGGCGCGCACGTCACGGAGATGCAAGTACCAGGGGCTGCGTAATAGGGCCTCGTCGCAGCGTTGACTATTCACATAGACTATCTCGCTGGCATAGCAAATCATAAATATTTCCGAGACCGCCAAAAACGTGTAATGACTTATCGAAATTACTTGCAGAAAAGTTTTGCCTTTTGATAACTGATCCGAAAGCAATTAGAAGAAGCAAAATTAAGAGAGATAAGCACTGCATGCAAGTATAATATATACTAAGTAAAGCTCGTACATATGCGATAACTCACTTTGCCTATATTAAAGGCGCACATGCAAAGAGTGAGCGTGACCACAAACGTCTTCACCAACCAAACTAAATTAAATAGGCTCTCCACTTTACGCAGAGCATTCAATATAAAAATATGTTGTTTGACACAGGACTCTAAAGCGTAATAAAAGGCTTCTCGAAAACTCAGAGGCTTTACGGTATCAGTTGGATTCAGTACATGAGGTAAGCAATCCAAATCAAAAGGTAATTCGGCTGTAAGAAAATATTCATTGAGCTCCTCATCTGGCATACGTTCTTTATCTCGTAATTCTCTTGATGCGGCAAATTGAAGAAAGAAAAATGTTTTTTTTCTAAATTAGTTAGACACAAATCTCGTGTTTATCATTTATATATTTGAGGAGCTAGACCTACATACGCAGGATTATTTTTATAAAAAAGGGCTGATTTCGATTAAACAAACTGTTGCAAAAGCCGAATAAACTATTAAGTTAAAAAATATTACGTAATGGGACTTAATTTGAAGAATTTTGAGACCGCCTACAATTGAAAATATCTTATTGAGGGTTAGCATTTAATAAATTAAATATTGGTATGTGGGTAACAAATAAGAGCTATATCAAAAATCATTGATGTACTAAAGTTGGGCCTTTTTAAAATATAACCTCTAAATAAAGTTCATATTTACATTAATTCATTTTTGTTTGCACCCATATAAATGTAGGTCGTGGCCACTATATTCTTTAAACTGCAGTTTAGAATATCGAATTGTCCGGAGAGTAAGAAACAAGCTGCTATGAAGTAGACACTGCTAACCAAAAATGTAGCCGCTAGTTGTAGTTGCGCCACGGTTTGGAAAGTGTAAGCGATTTCATAAATAATCGGTGCCTGAAAGTAAAATTGCCATATATATATTTACTTATACAATATATTTTTTTTGTAAGTGTAAATTGATGCAGATTCTGTTGAACCTTATAGTCCACAGGATACCAGCAGGTCAGTGGCAGCGTACGGTCGTTGTAGATAATTGGTAGAAAGAATCGAAATATTACAGCCGAGAGACAGAGGAGTACGTATGTTCTTATGCCTTTATTGACCTGATACAAGCAGCCTTTCATGGTGACGTAAGTAAAACCTTTAAAGAAATACAAATGTGATTGAGGATAGGATTGCATACACTATAGATACTTGTAGGAGTACAAATAACTTTCCAATGTTTGAGCGATTAAGACCGTATATTTCTGTCGCGAGGTTTAGTTAGGTTTTTGGTTATCAAGGAAATATAAATATGGTGAGTTAAAGTATGGGGTACATGAATTGTAGTCGCCATAGCTTTGTAGGAACCTAGAACTACATTTTTGTTTATATAATATACATATCATATGTCTAATCTGTCAAATCGTGGTATACTTTCCTTATCCATTAATACGGGGTTAAGAGGTCGATCCCAACAGGAATCTCACTTGGACAGCTCAGAACGACGGTCCGTTGTATTACCTAAAACTCCTATATAATAGGTAATAATTCGTTGAGACAACTTGCGTCCATCAAGACTTTTAGACTTACTGGATGAATTCCTATTGGACAATGTCCAGTAAAAAGCTCTACTATTTGTGGCAAGATGGAATTTGCAGTAAGATGAAATTTGTTAAGGGAAAAATGTTCATAAAACCTCTTGCGTTCTACTCTAGGCCGAAAGGATCTTGGGGTCGCACAGGAGCGGGTCGCCTACCAGCTGCTACTAACGCGAGGTCCATTAGTCCAGTTCTAGAAACAAGATGACGTTGGAATTCCAAGTCGGTTCCATTCCAATGTGAGCTGGGCAAAGGTACCCCTCTGGCTAGTTCGTCGACTTTGCAGTTGCTAGCAACTCCGCTGTAACCAGGCACCCAAACGAGCCTGATGAGGAAGTAGATTGATGCTATTTGTAGTGAGGACAGACACGCCTTACTAGCTTTGAGCGTATAGTTATCAAGCTAGTATCGCCGCTCTGCTGTCGGAGTGAATACTGACCTCCCTCAAAGAGGCTGCACTTCGTAGCAGTACATCTACTGCCACCTTAGAAGCTGCTACTTTTGCCTGAAAAACACTACAGTGGTCCGGTAGCCTAAAACTAAGATTGATAATATCTCATATGTGGGCAAAGAAAAAGCTGCCACGAGTAGCTTCTGTGATGCCGTATTCCAAGTTTTTAGGAATTTAGTAATATAAGTATGTAGGAGGTGAGAATTTCGGCGCGTGCTTGTTCGGACCCCCTCATATGGTCAGCTTCCCTGAGCTTTGGAGCAAAGCACCTGCCGGCAATGTCTAGGGATGCTATGTGCAAAATGGCATTAAGTACTATTGTTAGTGTAGTCCGCAGTGCATCAGAAATACTTATGATGGCTTATATTTAGTCACGTTGACGCTTCTTAGCAAGTGGAGCCTTTTCAAGCGGCCTCCACCAGACGGTTTCGTATAGCCAAAACACCACCTTTGGTAAAAGTCCCCACATTTTCCCTTTAGCTCTTCTACAGCAAGATAGATGTGGAATTATGTACATATGTATATATGACCAGGATGATGAGACGAGTTGAATTCAGAGTGACTGCCCGTCCGTCAGTCTATCCGTTCGTGTAAGCGTTAATTTGATTAAAAATACTATATTTCGATGAAACTTTTTACACATGTTTGCTGGCGCTATGAGAAAGCTAGTATTACAGATGGAATCGGACCAAAGCCGAGTCTATAAATGCCGGTGATCGAAAACCTATAGGGCTATAACTAAACTCCAAAGCGTGTGTCAAAAATCGGTAAATCGGGTCAGTGCCTTTAGTAAGCCGTATAAGTATTTCCGAACTTTGCGTTGACTTTGTACCGTATATATGGGTTAATCTGTGGGACATCTTAATGAAATTCAAGAAAGCTTCTTTTCTTGACATTAAACACGTGCGCAAAATTGAAAATCGAAACCAAATTTCACATAACCCTTAATATACCTATGAATATAAAATCAGAGGACATATTTTTCTGGTGAATTGCGAAAGTTTAAATTTTCGGTTACACTCGAACTAAGCCTTTTTTAATTTTTTTTTAATTGTCCTAATATAAAAATGATTAATCAAACTGAAAATAAATTATTGTATTAAATTATTAAAACTGTACGAATTTATTTCTCGATAATATTGTATATCGTTGCTATTACATGCTATATGAATTTGAATGAATTACATATGAAGTTCATAAAAATATTTTCAAAATTCTCTACTCAAAATAGAGGTGCCTAAATCGGTTCTATCTGGGGCGAATTCATACATCGAGTAAATTCTGTTGACGTGCCGAAGTTTAAAAATCTGTATTATTATGCTACCACTTACCCACAGCTGAATGAATTACGTATTCCTCATTCACGAAATCCAAAATTCCATTGACGAGTTCGAGGTATACACGTCGAAAAACAACCTTTATGATAGTAGTCCAAAGGTACAATAAAGCTTGTAAGCCCACACTTATCAAAAACTCTAAATCGCCACTCTCATAATTGAAGTAAATAGTAAAGATGAAGAGCATTAACATATGAATCACCATTAAATCGAGAAATATTTCCAGAATCAAATTAAGTGGCACACTGTAACGATGAAAGCGGCGCGGCAGAAATTTGTCAAAGGGTATTGGCCGTATCGCTGATACATACAAAAGCCAACGGACATATCGGAACAGATCGCAACGCTTCTCGTTCGATATGCAGCCGTTCCGGTTGGCACAACACTCGGTCTTACCGATATTTCTTTTACTTGCTGGAATCATTTAACGGAAACCCATATCCTTCAAGTCACTTACTATTTTCTAGCGGTTAAGAAAGCGCCTCTTTAAGGGTTTTTGCACTACTTTTAACTGATGGAAATTCGAGGTCATTAAGCGTAGTTTATTCACACCTCTGGGCGTAAGTGCAACTAATGACATTTTAATTTATGGTTAGTGCTGAAAAGTGTTGTGTTTATGCACAAATAACGGTGTTTTAATAACTAGTTCCGTTGTGTGATATTCATTCTGAATTATAACAGTAATATTAGAAATCGCATTTACCAAACTAACTTCGATCCAACGGTCTGTAATGCTAAAATAGTTTATCAAATGGATAATTCAGAAGGTTGAACACTCACTAATTGGTCAGGTAGTTTAGAATCGAACATCTGAATCTTTCTTGATTGGTTAAGTTTCCTCTGTTCTGGATGGATTATCCAAACTTGTGATCCAGACTTTTCGAATCTGCCAAACCGTCCAAACCTCGGAGTACTGGTGTTCTTTCTCTCTGTTTTGAGTATAGGAACTAGCTTCTACAGGTTGGTTGAAAAGTTTTTGCCATTCCTATAATGACTTTCCGGAAGCTCAGCAAGATACCCGTATACGGCTGTAATAGATTCTTCATTCGACGAAAAACGCTTTCCACGAAGGACTGTTTCAGGTTTCTGAAGAGGTAGTAGTCGCTGGGAGCAAAATCTGGTGAATACGGTGGATGCTCAAGCAATTCGAACTTTCATTCGTTGAATTTTGCCATAACCTTCTTTGTTGATCGTAGTGACTTCACCTGCTTTGGAGCTGAACAACCAGATTCAGTCCACTGTTAACGTTCTTGATCATGGTGGTAGTTCCAAGTCGCATCCAATTAAATTATTTTCCATATTAAAAAAATACTCTGAATAGTAAACTTCAAATGGCTTGTAAACAAAGAATTATTTGACAGAGTGACGTGTAACTTCGCATGTGTCGTGATGTACCAACTTGAAAAAAAATTGGAGCTAGTAGTACTATTTCTTGGTGCGAGCAGAACCTTTGCAATCAACATGAATATAACAGTGTCCTAAATCTTATTATTTCCGCTCTTTTGGTCGGTTGTAATCGATTGAAATGCATTTACCGTTTCACATTTAATAATTTATAATTATTATTATTACAATCATCACATTATAGAGTTTTACGTAACGAAATGTATGATAGCGTATAATAAAATGTTTGGTTCTACCCGAATTTATTCCTCAATTCCGAAGTTAAGATTTAGCAAGCGTGTACTCTTATCTAATAGCAACTGTGTATTTAAAAAAAAATTGTTTGTGTAAATAGGTTAATGATTCTTATGAGCACCAAAGGTAATGAATCCAATGTATTGAACGAATTGCTACCACATCCACCGTATCCACCGTTTACTAAGACCACAAACGATTTACTCTCAACAAGGAAATGAGAGAATGTTCTCAGAAAAGGACATGATGAGGTTATCGCCGATCCTGACTCCCATTTTGGAATAAAAGACATGGAGAGATGGAATTATAAAATTGAATTTTGATATGACAAATATTAATATTAAGAGCTTGCTTCACTCTTGTTGCCGAATCGTCTGAATATTTGCGCTAGTTTGAGATGACTATTCAAACAAAACTGGCGAAACCAGTAAAATTTAAAAAAGGTTGCCGTTTGTTAGTTTCAGAATTAAAGAAAGTAGTTATCTAGGACCAATTTTTCGATAAAAAGGACGTTTTCAAACATTTTCCTACGTACTATTTATTATTTTATTTAAAAAATTTCTCAAAATTCGAAATTTAGCAAGTTAATTTGGCTGCGGTTGTCTCAGGTCCATCTTTTGTAAAATAGTTAAAATCGAGAACGATGTGGTTAATATCTGAAAAAACACAAGAACAACAATTAGAATAATTTACTATAAAGAGGATATAAATGGCACAATACACTGCGAAACTTCTCCACATTTAAGTTGTACATCTTGCCACCGGTCAATCGGAATGGGCGCTGAGCGTTGAGTATAAAGAATAAAACATCCTGCTTTATTTCATTAGAATGCAAATACCAAGGGCTGCGCTGTAGAGCTTCATCGCAACGTTTACTATTCAAAAATATAATTTCGCCCGCATAACAGATCATAAACATTTCCCAAAGCGCCAAGAGCAAATATTGACTAAGCGAGAGCAGGCGCAGGAACGAGTTGGCGGCTGTGGACTTAAAGTTTTGATACAATATTTCACGGTTCTACTTTTACCTTATACTTGTATATATGTATATGAGCGCCTACCTTCACCCAAGCAAATGCGACTAGGCAAACTAGCAGTGTCACTTCAATAGTTTTGAGAAACCACAGATAACTGTAGAGATCCTCCAGCATTTTTAGGCCGTAGAGTATGTAACGATGATGAGCAATGCTGGGTCTAAGGGCGATTTTGAATGCTTTGTAAAATTTTTCGGGTTTCGGTGTTTTTACGTCCAAAAGATGTGTTATACAGTCGAAATCGGTGTTGTATTCCTTGGCGCTGTAATATTGATTAAGCTCGTAGTTGGCGATGTTTTGTTTTTCTCTCAGTAAGCTGCTTGTATGGGGCATAAAAATAAAGTTATAACGAACAAATCCTATTTAAAATGATAGACATCCATTGATATGTAATAAAATGATAGACATACAAGGTCATATATATTATGTTAATCCAGTATTATGGCCGGGAACTAAGATCGAATCCAGATCCCTAGATTGGAAGCACTGACCTATTATCATGACTCTACTCAAGTTTGATTATTGTTTGACATTTCTACTCCAAAAGAAATTACTATATTGGAATCGGGTCTTTAGTACGGTAGTACTGTTAGTACAAAGTTACTTGAGAGCTTAAAAAAATCGAACGATTTTATATTAAGAGGCCTGGTTTTCGTATGAAACGTTACAGTTATTGCGGCTTCATTGTCAAATGATTACACATTAGTTTGTCTATGCACTGCAATCTAAACTTACAGAAGTTCCGATTTCGGTTTTCTTAGAATTAGATATGTAGTAGCCAAAATATTTTTCAGACTGCAGTTCAGTATATCGAATTGACCAGAGAAGAGCACCGATACCAGCAGATAGAAAGCACTCGTACCACCGAAGGCACCAGCAATTTGCAGCTGACCCACAGTTTGTAGAAAGTAAATGAGCTCGTAAACAATTGGTACCTAAACAACGATTCAACGAGTGTAAATATAAATCAGCGTGTCGTCTCGAGAGAATCATATCTACTTAGGCCTACCTTATAATCGATGGGATACCAGCAGGCTAGTGGCAAGCTGCGATCTTGATTAAAGATGGGCACGAAAAGCCAAAAAGTACTGCCAGCATAACAGCAAATCATAAATATCGTAGTGGAAATAGTCGAAAAATTGGCGCTCTCATTAAACGTAACGTAGGTGAATCCAGCCGCTGACCGCGTTCTACATTTCTCATTCAAATAACGCATTAATCCTTTTACACGCTTGGGTTGGATACGTTTAAAGAAGACTTTAATGCCAATTGCCCACGTATAGATGACCGTCTGGATCATACTACTCACTATTAGTTCCAAATCGCCTTTATCTTTATTCAGATATATGGTGTATATAAAGAGTATGTCGATATGTAGCAATGTTGAATATAAGAACAGTTCGTAGGTCCAGTCCAAAGTAATGGCGAGAAACCGTAGGCGAGCAGGGAAATAGCGCTCTAGTGGCAGGCGATACATGGCTGTGAACCATAAATTCCAACGTATAAATCTGAACAAATCACGTCGTTGTATTCTGTGCGTCAGACATCCTTCGTGCACCGTTGTGGTGAGATCAGGTTCTTGCTGCTCTTTATTCGATGACATTTGAGTCACATTTATTTGTTAATAGCAAGAGAATAGTTTGTGTGCCCTTTTTATAGGTTTGTAACACCGAGAATTGTACACATGCCCAGCAGGAATATAGTATTCCCCAATGAGAGTTTCTCATATACAATATATTCTTAATTCTACATATGTAGCTGCGAAAGCTTAAGATCAACGAAAGCTCTTTACCGTTAGACATGTTTACTGAAAGTCAATTCTTGAACCACTGTATCTTCAAAAGAAATATAATTTTTGACAATGAAAATAAGATTTCTTTGCTCCTTGTTTGCGTCGAAACGTCTAACCGGAGTAGTCAACCGCTCTGTATTAAGAATTAAAACAGTTGCTTTTCCAAAAACTTATTTCATTATTTTATGCTGTACAAGTCACTCTTTTCTTCTATTTTTAGAAAGTGCTCTAAACTATACAAAAAATTCCTGCTGGGCTGCTTGCCTCACTTTGTTATTGTGATCAAAGGGTTGCATCCCTTATAGCCAAAAATATACCGTTGTGTGGCAATAATTACTAAATTAAAACAAATTTATGGGCGGAAGTTTATCGGTTTTAATAAAGATTGTGCGTGAAAACTTTTTAAATTATCATATAAATTAGTGTATACATGTGATTAAAGCCCAATGGGCAAGTCATAAACAAGTTTAACTGGCCTGGAAGAAGTTTAGATGACATTCGAAGTTTTAATAATATTTATTCAATTATTTATGCATAACTTTTGATTTGAAATAGTTACTTCAGGTAAATGTTCAAAAACTAGGTCAGTTTTCATAAGGTATTCAAAAGAGCAAATCATATTCAAATGGAAATTATGTGGGAAGTTGGGTGTTGTTAAATCAAATATTATAGTCAATTTAAAATATAATAATTCGGAACACAAATTCTAGCCAAGTCCATCCTTAGCTGGTATTTGCAAGACAAATTTGGCTTCTTTTCTTACTCTGCTTTCGTTTTGAATACTTCAGGAGCTATATAGCTCTATTCTATTCTGTGTAGTTCTACTTTCCATTTCAAGGCCCGATATTGCTCGCGGTATTAATGCTGATTAAAATGCATATCAAAGCATTTACCTACAGCATTCTTCGAACCTAACTTATTCTAAGAGTAGGATAACTCGATTACAACAAGTATATATGAAAATGGGTGAAATCCAGTGATAACCACTCCTACTTGCCATATAACACACATAATGAACGAAACGAAGATGCTACATGAATAATGATTTCATCGTTTTTAAATTTAACTTTCCAATAATATTCCGCAGACCGATTTATTTTTAATAATTTTCTTAAAATCTTCAAGTTTTGGTTATTACTTTCTTTCTGAGGTATACTTTCAGCAGAATTTTTGAACCATGTAAAAAACTTAAACCACCCAGTTCGAATCAGGAAGCTATTTATGTCATTAATTTATAAATAATAAAAGGATGAGCAAGTTTTTATTCCTATTTCTGCTCCATTTTCATTCATCATTCATCAGGAGAGAAGCACTCAAGTAGAAATGCTTGTACGACATAACCGCATAAGTTGGTTCCAAAGAATTGTGATTAGAAATTTGTTCATTCAACTCAAATTATTTTCATATTCCGTTTACGAACTGTAAATTACACAAAATAAGTTTTGAAAGTCTAAAACAAAAATCGTTCCACCCATTAAACTTGTTGCTTTAAATAGAAATATTACGAACCACTCAATTAAGCTTTATTGTTTGATGTGTACAGTTATATGAGCAAAAGCCACAAATGAGCACCCATAGCAGAAGTGGTATACGATTGAGTGGGCAGTTAAATGCCACTGCACACGTGTCTATCAGACAAATTTCATTTCAATGAAAGATAAGTGTGTCCAGGCTCCACTTGGAAAGAGAAAATGTGAGAAAAGCCGTACGCACCTATTTGTATGTGGCAGATGGTTCGCAATGGGAGTGGGGTCAGCGGTTTTGTTGGGTGTTATGTTAACAAAGATCTTTGTGGAAAGTTTTCGCAGGCGACAATTTACGTTGGTGTTCGTTAATCGCTTCCATGTTTCTCTACCGTTAGTGAAATGTGGCAACAGAGCGAACACTATTAATCTAAGTACCATAGTACTATTATAGTACATAAAATAATTGACCAGACTAAGATATCACCTCTGTTTTTGACACATAAGCAACCATTTATACCGAGTTTTGACGCGAACTGAGGGCTTTGGCTTAAAAATGTTGAGATGCCAGTTCATAGATAAGTTGGTTGGTTACTCTGGGATGCAAAGCTAGAAACAGTTGGTATTGAACGGATCGTGGAAGGAATTTATGGTTCCTATCATAATCAACTCTTTGAAAAAAGAAAAAAATAGTTTCTTAAGTAGAACAAGAAAAAACTTTATCTTCGGTTCTACCGGTTCGGTTCTTTGTTTACAAGCTATTTGAAGTTGAGTATTTAGAGTATTTTGTAATATAGAAACAAATTTGAATATCACGCCTTGATTAGATTCTTTGTTTTGAAAGGTTTAAAAGCAAAGGAAATTTGTGAACAAAAATTCGTAAGAAAATATCTGGTTTGCAGCACTATACATACTAGCAATACTTTTTCATTAAGGCAATGCACCTGCACACAAAGGTGTTGTAACAATGATAAAATTCAATGAATTAAAGTACGAATTGCTTGAGTATCCACTGTATCCACCAGATTTGGCTCTCAGCGACTATTCCTCTTCAGAAACCTGAAAGAATCCCTTCCTGGTAAGCGTTTTTTGTCGAATAAATAATCTATTATAGCCGTAGACGGCTATTTTGCTGAGCTTCCGGAAAGTCGTTATAGAGATGGCATAAAATTATTGGAGGATCAAATATTTCGTACCAAAAACAGTATTTTTTCATTTCGAGCGCAGAAACTTTTCAACCAACCTGTGTAATAATTCGATCTGAACAATTTCTTTGGAGATTGCATCATTGTCTCAGACAATAAGGGACTAGTATATATCGACTCAGCTCATCATGCCGATCATTTATATACGAGTATATATTTTCTAGGATCTCCGATGTTTTCTTCTGGGTGTTACAAACTTCGTGGCAAACTTAATATATCCTGTTCAGGGTATAAAAATGCAGCTGTAGTGGGATTGATGACAACCTTTTCATTACCTTGATGAACACAGTCACCAATGTTCACTGGTCCTCAGGAAGTATGTATTTTGTATGTTAACGAAAAATTTTACATATGAGTCAGTTAAGACTAGAGAAAGGTAATGAGAGAAGATCACTTGACTGTCACTCCGATTTTGTAGTTATGACGGTATGTAGAAATCCTCCTTGTTGAGTTTAATATATAAATATCGTACCATGTGAATCACAGAAATTTCTTTTTATTAAAATATGTGGGAGTAGCCCGAGTTCATGACTCTTCTACAGAAGTTCTGTATCCGAAGAACTTTTGAAGTAGCATCTTTATTGTATTTTTTACAGCCTAATTATATTTTAAAGATCAATAGTTTTGCCCTTAGAGAATGGAATTGAATGTGTTTCGTAATTCTTGCATGAGGGGTGGACAGATGACAGATGACCTGCATAACATACGAGTACAACATAAAATTCTCCGCGTTAAGTAGTTGCAATAGATCGTTGACACAAATTAGACAATACTAGATAGCTCTCTCCCACCCATAAGTGTGTCTAATAGTAAGCCAGTTGGACACAGATCAGAGCTGCTACCAAGTAGGAAATATACCATAAGTTCTGGCTGTTTCAGAAGGTTTCAAACTTTCAAAAGCACTGGCTACTGGTTTGCGGATTATCATCTAACAAAGCGCCTAGTCTTATAGAAGGTGCTGCGCACATTTCTTCGAAAGCTTCTTATTTTCCCAAATATTCAAGATTTATAAAATATGCATGACCTAACCTATTTAACCACTCTTATCCACAAATTACAATGACAAATCCTAAATCCTCAGATCACAGATTTGACCCCTTCATACCGAATGCTTTTTTTTTACCGCTTTTAGGAACTCATGATTATAGCAACAGGAACACTGATTATAGCAACTTTTTCCTCAACGAAATTACATGGATTGTTTTAAGAATATTGATTAGATGCAGAATTTGGCAGAAAGCTTGCCAGCTGAGATTAAAGTAACATAGTACCCATCGCAGGATGAAAACTGTCGAAGACGGAGTCAAATGCGTTATAGTTTACATTTTCCTAGGATTCAAACTTTTATTCAACGTTCTCTTGTGTGCCTTGTATTCCCGTTAGTACAATAGTAAAAAAATGCTTCATATTTTTTGATTTTTATTTATTTCATTAAAAATATACGAACAGTATAAGAGAAAAGAGAATGAAATGAGTAGCATGAACAAGTTTTACTCACGCAACAAATTAACAAAATGAGAAAGATTTGATTATATAAAGTACAAATGTGAGTAATAATTTACGTGGCCATGTCGAAAAAGACACAGTGTTGCAAAAAATTACGAGGCAATACGGAAAAATTGTAGCAAAATAATAATAATAATAGTAAAATTTTATTATTTGTATATACACATAAGCGAATGGTATTTATACACATGGAGCAATGTCAGTAATTTATTTAAGCTATAATACGAATTTGAGCACAAAAAGCAGCAGCTAGCTTCAAAGCAGAAAGCAAGAGAAAGCCGCGGAACGCAACCGCATCCGTACATCCATTCTATCCTAGCGCTAATCTCAACTACGAATAAATTTGATCTGGAACTTGCGCAACCTAATCGATGTTCAGTTGTCGGAAGGTGCCCTCCATACCGAACAAATCGTCGCTGGTCTTCGGTGAGCCAGGACGCAACGCTTCGTTGGCTTTCTTGCCCTCCTGCTCTTTGAACCATGGTGTGTATTCCTCCAACTTTTTCTTCCATTGTTGATTCAATTCGACCACCGAACCAGCTTTGCCGCCATATTCGTCGGGCAACAAGTCACGTGGCACGGCCTTGTACAAGCTTTCGATGTTGCTGTGGAAAGTGATACGATTGCGTATCTTCTCTTTAACAAAGGGACGTACAAAGTTGAAGATCGTATCGACCAATGGTGAAATATTGAACACATGCACCTCCTTCACCTTGACCGGATAGCCCTCCTGCACGGCAATGAGGAATTTCTTAATCACAGTTGGCGTGAATTTTGCAAAATGATGTGCGGAAGCTAGTGTAGCATCGACAATGAAAATATCACCGGCAATACCGACTTTCTCCTCCAACAGACGAATATCGCCAATCATGAGCGCCACCTTGGCGGCATCGTTAATGTGCTGCGCCTGAAAGTCGACATCAATACCGCGCACGAAAGTGATGCGGCGACCATTGGGCGTGAGACCGGGTAGAGTTGGGCAGTGTCTACATATGCGCAAGATTAAGAAAGATAGAGAGGGTAATAAGTTTAGCTGAAATCAATGCTGGAAATGTAAACTTACAAGTAATCCAAGACCATCGCCAATTCGGGCCGATTAATATCACGATTTGCAAAGAATTCCGGTACGGCATTACGCATTGTATAGTACATGTCGAGCTTCTTTTTCACCTTCTCCAAACTGAATTTGCAGCCACGTAAGAATGTGGCCAAGCGGCCATCATCCATATCCTTGGGCAGATGTGGTTGTGTGTCCAACCATTCGCGTATGAGTTTGATGTCACGATCGATATCCGATTGGTTTTCGGGTTCGCGTAGTTCCTCACGAATGGTGATGCGTTGTTGAGGTGTAGGCTGAATGAGCATCATCTGTTGAAGAGAAGAGATTGTTTTTACTCTCTGCTTTAATACATTTTCTTCTTCAAAAATATTTATTCAACTAAAATTGGTTAAATTGTTGTAAATTATAAGTTTATTATTTTTAATTACAAAAGAAAAATTTAACATGTACATTTGTATATGTCGTTGTATCTACATAATTTAGAAAAAATAAATAGATTTTATTATATTTAGCGAAAAGTAAAAGTAAATTTAAATGAAACAAGTAAGGAAAGGCTAAGTTCGGGTGTAACTGAGCTCTTGCAACTTACACGAATCAAACTCCGGGAAATTCCTTCAGATGCTGGCAAACTTACTTACTTACATTAAACATTGTTGCGAAAGAATTAAACATCCATTACTCGATGAAATCGTAAATAAATTACAATCAAATTTGGTATATTCTTGGAAATTCATTATATTAGGGAAAGGTGATTAAGACCAAGGTATAGACCAATTCCATTATAATTCAGCGCTAAGCAATTAAATTTCATTAAAATATCATAGATTTTGACCAACCTAAACGTTTAAAATACATGTGGAAAGACGAAAATCATTTTATGGGGTATATTGGAAATATAGAGGGACATTGCATTAATTTTGACATTGCTGAGGTATACTCGAGAACATATTTTGAAGCAATGTTATATTTAAATAATACTCACTGACCGGCATAAAACTCGTTAGAATAATGAAAATCATTATAAAGAGTATATGGGAGTTGGGGGTGGGGCTATAAGAAGTATTGACTTGATTAGTTTAATTTTTGGCTTACGTACATAATATTATCAGGAAAGGATTCTCTCCGTATTCCAATTAAATATCTCGTAATTTGAACTATAATTTCGGTTAAAAGTCAACCAATGACAATGGTGTTCACATATTCGGTACCTAGGGGCTTGAACAGTTTCGGTTCAATTTGTACAGTTTTTGATTATAAGGTGGCACACTTCAAAGTCATTATTCGAATTTAAAATTTTGTTATATGGGAAGTGATCTGGTTGTAGTCCGCTTTCCTCCATTTTCGCACTGTAATATAGGAATAACAGACGAATGTTATGTACCGAATTTGGTTGAAATCGGTCGAGTAGGTCCCGAGTTATGTGATTTCACTTAAAAGTGGGCTGTGCCACGCCCACCGTCCGAGTTTGTTACCAGCTCCTATAAAGCCCTCTTTTGCCATCCGGGGTGTAAAATTTAACGTGACTGACGCATTCAGTTTTTGATTTATAACACTTTTAGTAGTTTTCAACAAAATCGGTATTAGGGGAGTGGTCGGGATTATCATCCGATTTCAACTGTTTTCACACTGTCGTAAGAAGGGTTAAAATAATTTACCTTGTGCAAATTTGGGTATAAAGCTTAATTGGTTTAGAGGATATATACATTAAACTAATTAGGGGACGCTGTCTTAATGTGATTCGTTGTGCCAAATCTGAGTTCTGATTTTTAATTTCCGGCTTAGTTATGGCACTTTATAGGTTTTCGTTTAATGACATTTTGTGGGCGTGGCAGTGATCCGATTACACCCATCTACGAACTCGTCCTCACTTTCTTGCCAAGGAATACGAATACCAAGTTTTTACTTTAATTTAACGTAAAATTAAAAAAAAATATAGTTTTAAAGCAAAGAGAAAATAAAGATTATAAAACTAATGGAAGTGGTTTTCTTAATATAATAATTAATAAGATATTATACTCAGAATGTATTGATATAACGACCAAACCTTGACGAGTGACGAGTATAAAATTAAGGAACTGGCATCATCAAATAACAGCCAAAAGTCAACGGGTATAAATATAAAAATCTAACATAACTCTGTATTTTATTTGCGAAACGATTGTAAATCGAGAAAATACTTAACATTAAACAAATATGCTGGCATAATCAATTAGAAGTTAAAAACAACTAGTATAAACATAAAAATTGGCCAGATCAAATATAATCTATTTTACATAGCCTACACTTTGAGAGCAGTGAATTGAAGAAACAGCTGGTATACATTGAAAGAACTGGTATAATAAAGTATGTATGCTTTTCTATTCAATTAAACGGTATAACATTGGTTTTGCTTTCACAAGTAATTTTTTTAATATTTTTAATGCTATTTTCTACCTACATATTTTCGTCAAATAATCCCTTAGTATATTTTCTAGATAAATGCAAATATATGTCCCTGTACAGCTAAATTCGAAAAGAAAAAAATATATTAGTAATAATAATAAAATACATACACACAGACAACCTTCAAATTTTGCTTCACAGCTTGCAGATAACATGTCTGCACACAAGTTGCGCAACATGTTAATGCTAGTGTTTCGCAACATAGTGATGTTGGCCAAGCAGACGGTAAAATGTTAACGCAATAGTATTAGTGCCGCTTTATGTTGTTGTATGTGCGCAAAAATGTGAGAAATAAATAAACAGGTGCGACTAAAGCGAAATAAATAAATATTTACGCAACTCAGAGATGAGCGCTAATTCTGTCGTGAACAAATTGTTCCGGCGGCCGGTAAACAGACCTGTTTTACGCATAGCTAAATAGCATAGTGCGCGCTTTTACTTCGGATATTCTAATAGGTATTGTTCTTTAGTTAAAGCTGCGTGCAGCTGATCAACTGGTTTTGGGTATTGCATAACAGTAGGAAGTTCATAAAAATATAAGTAGTAGTAGTCATATACGATTATAGTTGCTGAGATGTTGTGTAATAAAGATAATTAAATGTGCGATTTAGTTTATGAATAAAATATTATTGTTTTATTTTGCATAATATTTCATGTCTCTTCAACATTTATTAGCTTGCCAAAGCAATGTTGCCGCCTCGTGGTGACCAAAACTTTTGTTGCCAACAGCTTAGCGCGCCGAGTGACGCTTAAAGTCGGTATTGATACGGAGCTGTGTGCGAAGAATGCTTGTTTACTTATTAATGTGTGCAAATAACTTAATGTAGCAAGTGCAAATTAGCATTTGGCTTGGGCAATTTTGGTGTATTTGTTTCCAATCACGCCACATTTCCGCTAATTATGCGCAAAACCACGTTTTTGAGTTAACGAACGGAAATCGGTTAAACTCACCACTTTAGCAGTGGCAAGGCAAAAATAAAATAAAAGTAAATACAAAAAAAAAAAAAATATAATAAAAAAATATATATATACAGTTTCTTAGTTTCTTTTTTTACGTTTTATGTGTACTTGCGGAGTTTTAATTTTTATTACAAATTAATATTCTTTTAATTGTTCGCAATTTTGTCTACAGCAAGTGCGCATGTACTGTACCGACATCTGCGTTCAACAACTACAACAACAGTTGCAATTATTATTTGTCTTTAATTTAAAAGAAGATTATTTCTCAATTTTGCAGGCGTGGCGTCACGCTTGATGACAGCGCTCCGATAACAGTGCCATTTAATTACGGTACACATGGAAATTGTTTCGGTATAAAATTATTTGTATTTTATATTATGATGTCCACTGAAGCGGTGCAGTAGCAATAGTTAATTTTTTTATTTATGTTTTTTGGTTTTGTTAAGGTAGTCTGTCCAAACAATTGAAAGTGGTGATTTTAAGCTCATAAATAATTAAATATAATTATAATAAAATTTTAACAAAATATATTTATATATAAATTAAAGTACTTGAAAAATGTCTACCTGTTCTCTCTTCAAAAGAGAACTGCGAAATCTTCCTCTCTCTTTGTCTCAGTCAACTCGAAGTGCTTGGCAAAAGCTGTACAAAGTGAAAATAATTTGGTATTTTCGTGTACCACAACTATAAAAAACGTCAACTTTAGCTTCACCCTTTACAATTACATTTCTTATAGCAAAAAAGTGTATAAAAAGATCTTGATTTTGAATGGTCAGTTAGTATGGCACCTATACTCTATAGTGGTCAAATCTGAACATTTTGTGCGTAGCTTATAGTGTTACATTATACAATAATTTATGCCAAATTTCGTGAAGATATCTTGCCATATTAAAAAGTTTTCTATACAAGGGCTTAATTTTGATCGGCCAATTTGTTTAGCAGCTACATATATCGCCTAGTGGTCCGATCAATGAGCAGCTTCTTGAGGAGGCAAAAGTTCACACTGATATCTCAAAGGCTGAGGGACTACTTCGCCTATATACAGACTGGTAACGAATAAAGCTTGTTAGTGGCACGCGGTCAACGGCCATGAAAACACAATTTTTACAAATGAAAAAATTTTCACTTTTGAAGAAGCTTTTAATCAACAAAACGACAAAATCTACGGAAAACTTCAAAATACGCAAAAAATGTTATTCCAAGAGTTCGACGTGATCCCACCCAGCTGTTGTAATGGTTTGGTGGGAAGTCTCTCGTAAAAGCATAGCACCTTTTCAATTCTGTGAAAAAATAATTAAACTTTGGGCAAAAGTGTACCAGCAGGATATTTTAGAAGGCGAATAGATGTTAAAAAATAAACGCCTTATGCAGGAATTTTGAGCGGCAATTTTACGAAACCGTTCTAGACATCGCTCAAAATGCGTAAAAAAGTGTGAGAAAACGGAAGTGTTTATTATAATACATAAGATACTTGAAAATGTGCGGACACCCAAAATGTATTTCAAATGACTGATAGTTATCTGCGAGTACGTATGCGAACTCCAATTTTAGAAACATTTCCATAACCGCCTTTTAACATCATTTGCAATCACGCTTCAACTAGCAGACCGCCCAATCAGTAGGCACTCATTCGACTCATTCATAATACTGATTAAATAGCAATCAAGCGACAACAACCAACCACTACAATAACAACAAACCTCCGACTCATGCCCCGTGATCTGTCATTTAGGCAGATTTGTGTTAAACTATTTACGAAAATTTGCAACGCTGCATAGTGGCGCACAGTTGCAAGATACACCCACAAGCATATACAAATATATATATACCTATATAGGAGTACATATACACGCATAAATACTTACATATATACGCCGTGCACATGCAGGCGATTAATTAATTTCCT